AAACTGCTTAAAGTCTCCAGATGCGAGTTAACAATATGAAGTACAGCAGCTCCATTGTTGTTTGCATCCTAAACTAATCAAATTTGCTAGTAGTTGACATGGCTGTCTTGCACATTTCCAACAACAGAAACAAGAATTTAATCAGTTTCGCTATTTTCTATCGGAAAATTACGTTGTTTGTTTGGATTGTAATTTTCTGTCGGAAAATTACGTTGTTTTCCGTAATCTCATTTCCCTATTATTTTTTTCCCTCACATACATCAAATCGCTACAATAATTTTTCCATGAAAAATCATAAAAAATTCAATCCAAACACAAATAAATCTTTATCCAAAAAAATTTCACCTTTTCTGAAAATAAAAGTTACCTCGCACTTTACATACCCCCGTTAACTTACTCCTGCAACTGCTTAATCTCTGCTATGAAATTAATAATTACACTATTAGTTCCATCATATCGCATAATAGAAATGGCTCTTCAGAATAGTCAGTATCTAAGAAGCAAATGAATAATGTTTGCTATACAAAATGATTGTCTAATCCACCTATTAGCATCTGTCTCGTCCTTAATACGTTATCTTCACAATGATATTGGAATTTTTGAAACTTTCTTGAATTGCCCTTTTTCTTTGACCAATTAGAAAACTCATTTTTCACCTGGAAGGTAGAAATAGAGTAACATAATACCAATGGATTAAAAACGAATGTATTTTTGCGCAAAATTAGATTCGGGATTTGAGAGTGTTTTCAATGTTCAATCACTCCTTAATCTTAGCCATGATTATGAGTTATGACATGGTACAACTTCAATCCTTGTCGGGAATCAACCTTCCTTAGTTATAGGCTTCACTCAAACTAACCATCACAATAATGTGGATAACCTTAAACACATTAATCTATTTTTTATTAATATATAGAAACTCAGAACCTCCTACTTATAATCCCTCTCTCACTTTACCTCTCAACCTAATTCTCCTCTAAACACATTATATCTATTTTTCCTTTTCTCATTGAGAATATTGTAGGTCTGCTTCCAAGAATCAACTCTCCTTAGGATAGGCCACCCTCAAACCACCAGAAAAAAAAATTGAGGACAGCCATAAAGAGTTTATATCTATTTTTCCTTTTCTTTTTTTCTTTTTTATTAAGATTGTTGGTGGTTCAAGTGCGCCTCTTGAGATTATTCTTCTCCACGGCGTAAAAATTTTCTTACATACTCTTTGATTCAAGGATGGAACCAAAAGGGAGCAGAGAGAAGCCATTGCCACCCAAATCCTAAAAGTTCACTCTTAAAAGATTTTTTTTTTTTTTTGGCTTCGGTCCATTTTTTAATTTCATACTCAATGCCCATCCTTTCTTAGATTTTAAAATCAATTATTTGGAGATGATTTTTTGTACAAATTCTAATCCTTGCTGAGATGAACGCTTTTCTGTTTCAACTTAGATCATAACTGTCGTTATAAAGGAAAATAAACTTTGATTGTAATTGGAAAAACAGAGCACCATCCAATTAAATGCATGTGTATACTTTTCTGTGCTAAGGTGATTCATTGTCGCTTTCAGATCAAATTGATATACATCGACCAATGAAGAAGAAATTATTAGTTGCATATTATCCAGGATGGAATACACAGTTTGATAAGATAGATATATTACGTGTTTGTGTTAATGCACATTGCCGTCATTAGTCAATTTATAATTCCACGCTTCGACGGGCTACATCCGACGCCAACCAATATGTTCCTCGTCTCTCAAAATAACAAACGAAACTCTGCTTATTTTAGGTCCAATTTTGTGAAATCTCGTTTTGGTTCTTAAATTGAAATTGAAGCAATTAGAGTCCCTCAGAGTTATGTCTGCCGCAGTACATCACTTCTATATGAGATCAAATTTCAGGGTCGTGCGTTGGAATTCTGTTGTTGATGTAATTTATGAGAATTCCTAGAAATGAATCGTGGTTCAAAAAATATGCCCTGATCCATGGTGATGATCAGAGTTGAGCCAACAAAAAATTAAAAAAAATGTCGGAAAAGTATATAATATGAATAAGGAAAACTCTAAGAAAACGTTTCTCACATTTTACGGTTTAAATTTTCTCATCTCTTATTTTAAAGTGATGCATTTACTTCCCTCAAAAATTTAAAATACACCTATTTGGTTTCAAATTCACCTGAGATTTTTCACGGGACACACACTTGATGAATTTTAAAGGAGCAAAAAGGTCAAATAAAGAAAATTTTTTTGACCCACTCACATGACTCGATTTATGTTTACCTAGTGAGAAATCTCCTTCAATATACTCATCCCTTGGTTGGGTAAAAAGGACAAAAGAAAACTCAGAAAAAAGGAAAAGAAATTGCATCAAGACAAAAGACACATACAACAGCATGATTTTGTTGGAGATAAGCGACGAGTGAATTATTGGAGCAAAGCAAAGAGATGCTTATGATACCATAATTTATGGGGTTTTTTTTGTTTTGTGTTGGGTACGAACCATATTTTATGGGTTAGAATAGGGAGAGAGATGGACAGCGTGCATGAATCATGAATCGCTTTCTACCGAATACCGGATCACATGAAGAGTCGTACTCAGCTTTCTTGTGTTAAAGATTTCAAGTTCACTTCTATCTCTTTTCTTCTTTTTGGATTTATTCTACAATCAATAATTGTAATTTACTTGTACTTGAAGATATATATATATATATATATGTCTGGTTCATGTCTCAAATCAGAACACGGCACGTAAACAATTAAATTCTGGTTTTGTGGTCTATGCGAACGATGAACAAGGACAATAATTCTGTCCAATAATTATTAGGGTAAAATACACTAAATCCCCTTGTGGTTTGGGTTATTATCATAAAGCCTCCTCATTATTTGAAAACTCTCAAAGAACCCCCTCATAGTTTGGACTAATTTGGATAATGAACGGAAATTATCCAATTTGACAGAAAAATATGAAATTTCGATATTAACCTTATTTCAATGTATACTAAAAGTTAGTTCAGGGTTTACATAAGATTTTAAAATTTTTTTTCACTTTATTTGAGAATAAAGAAACATCAAGTGGCTCATTTGAAAATTTCAAAACTTATCATCTTCTCCAAATCTCCACTTTTTCCTTCAACAATAGTAGAATAGCCACCGATTACCACTGCATCTAAGCTCCTTCCATGGGTAATTGATCCGTTGTTTCTTTCTTAACTATAATGCAAATGTCCGAATGGTGATGAACTAAACAACATTATTGCTACTAATTTTCTTTGAAAACAACCAGCATACCAGAAAAATTCACTAATTTCACTAAAATAAATTCCCTAAATTCGCCATTATCCTACTTAGTACTGCTGCCAGAAAAACTTACGGCTACCCAACTTTCAAAGTTTCTCCAACAAATCGACAACAGCAGGTGAGAACTAGCAAAAGCCCAAGGTGATTTATCTGCAATTAAAGAAGGGGGTCTTCTGCACAATCGTAGCCATCAAAATTCATAACTGGGAGCCCCCCAGAAATCTAGATTATCATCAAGGTTCTAACTTTTCAATAACTCTTCCCAGAAACGCAAATTTTGCTCCACCACCACCCTCATTTTTCAGTTTCTTGAGTTTTCTGGCCACCTCCGTTCTGACTCCGTTCCATTCTTTCAAAACATTGGACGCCGTCGACGAAGACGACGTCGTCGATTCAGCACCATCCGACGACAAGTCCAACGACGAGAAGTCAAAGTCACAAGATTCTCCATCACATGACTGCATGCTCCTACTCGATCATCCTCCTTTTCTTTCTTGATCTCAACACCCATTAGATCACGGAAACTAATTGCCGACGCACCGCAAAATATTTCAAAATTGGAACAAGTGCTCAAATCGAAGTGGTGATGTTGAGGACTCCGTGAAACCTACCGGAAGGATGCCAGATTTGGACTGCAGTGAACGCCGGAGTTCCAATTGCGTCGGCCAAAGAGGGGAATTTCCGGAGGCAACTACTTAGCAGGAACCCTACAGTGCTTTCTGGTTTGCTGCACCAGTAGGTGGGAGAGAGAGGGAAAAGAAAAGAAGAAAAAAAGAAAGTAGTTTGAAGCCCCTGTTTGAATAAAGGTTGGTATTGATTTTGCTTCAGTTTTTCTGCTCCAGATGGTTCAAGAGAAAGAAGAAAAAGGAAGAACAAGGAAAAAAGAAAAGGAAAGAAAAGAAAATGTAAAATTACCACATTACCCTTGATATATTGTTATCACACTCGCTTATCAAGCATGTGTAAGTCACTTCCCGTCAAATTGGATGATTTCCGTTCGTTGCCCAAATTAGTCCAAATCACAAGGGGGTTCTTTGGGGTTTTTAAATAATGAGGAAGTTTTATGATAATAACCCAAACCACAAGGGGGTTTAGTGTATTTCATAACCCAAACCCTAATTATTAATCTAACACTTTCATTTGATTTGTCTGCCTAATTAAGCTGGACCAAATCTGATTTTGGTGACTAAATAGCTGCAAAATCGCAGGGTTTTCTGTATTTTCTGTTTACCAGTTTTTTTTTTTTGTTCCCCAAACGATAGGGAATTTCATTACTTCATCAAAGTATTACAAATTTGGAGCAAAGGCTCCTACATCATTTTTGGCTATACTACTTAGTCAACTTGGGAATGAATCAATCCAGGCTATCTCAGAAACTAAGTTTAAGGCAAACTTTGCCAAATGGTGCGAGAAAAAATTCCCTTCTCTCTTAACAAAAGAGAAGAGACAAGATCTAAAGCCTTTGCTAAGTACGTCAATGTAAAAAAGGACAGCTCCTGCTAAATGATCATTCAAGTCCCCCTCTATGATTTGATCAATAATTCCCTTGCAATCTGATTGGATGATGATGTTCATCCATCCATTCCTCTTGGCAAAAATAAGAACTTTCCAGATTGTCATAGCCTATTCAACAGTAGGAACTCCCTTCCTTCCTTCACAACCATCCCAAGCACCTCTTAATTTCCCTTTACTGCATCTGGCCACGACTCCCTAACCTACCTTTGCTTCATTCTGCTTTATTGCTGCATCAGTATTTAAACACAAGAAGTTTTCTGACGGTGGCTCCCATCTAACCATCTTGTCTTCTTTTCCCTTGCCTGTTGCCTCCTCATCCCTTTTTGCTATGTTAGCTTCCTGGAATTCCAGCCATTCTTGTACTACCTTATTTGTTGTTACACCTGGACATCTCTCTTCTCTGTTAAACTGTATCTGATTTCTGGATTTCTCAATCTGCTACAACACATTTATAGTCAGCTCAATATGCTTCCTTCCTTCCTTCCTAGCCTTTGCTTCCATCAGACCACTCCACCACTGCCAAAAGTTATGTCTATAGTCCTTCAACCCATTCCAGCTAATTGGAGCAGCTTTCCATATTAGCTCAGCATGCTTACAGAAAAAGAACATATGTTCCATAGTTTCTGTCCCTTTTCCACAACAACGGCACCCATCATTCCCTTGTCGAATTCTCCTTCTAATTGTTTCATTAACTGGCAATATGCACTGAAGACATTTCCAAATGAAGTGTTTTAGCTTATGCTTAACGTTCAGGCTCCATAGAAACTTCCACACCCCTGAATTAGCTTCATTCCTGCTGCTACTTTCTTGCTGCAGGCTTTCCCTTCTGCCTTTGAGCTGCATCTCTTTTGCCACCACATATCTAGACTTTACAGTGTACCCACCTGATTTAGACAGCATCCAAACTAGTCTATCCTTATCACCAAATGCACTTATTTGACTATTAAGTATTCTTTGGCAGCCCTCCTCCTCAAACATGTTCTTCAGTAATCCCTCATTCCATCTTCCATCAGAAATCAACTCATGAACTCTCTGTACACAACAATGCTGAGGTTATTTTATTTTATTTTTCCATCCTCCAAGTCTAGCAATCACTTGTCTTCCCATATCTTAATTTGCTGATCATTTCCCACTCTCTTTCGTACCCCTTCTGTCAATACTTCCCTTGAGCTTAGGATGCTTTTCCATATCCAAGAATCCCCTGCATGGATTTTCATATTCCGGATGGAAGATCCTTTAAAGTACCTCCCCGTAACAATTTTACTAACTAACAAGTTAGGCCTTATCAAGATTCTCCAAAACTGCTTAGCAAGCATAGCAGTATTAAATTGTTGAAGATCTCTAAAACCCAATTCCCCTTTCCCTTTCACCTCAGACAACCTCCCCCACTCCATCTAATGGATTTTTCTATTTTCCTCCTTATCTCCCCACCAAAATTTAGCCATTTCTTTAAAAATATCCCTGCATAATCCTTTTGGCAGTTTGCAACAACTCATAGCATATGCAGGTAAAGCTAAAATCACAGATTTTAAAAGCACATCCTTGCCAGCATTATTTAGCAGCTTCTCCTTCCATCCACCCAACCTGTTGATGACCTTTTTCCTGATGTAGTTAAAGACTTGCTTCTTTGGTCTTCCTATAACCATTGGCAATTCTAGATACTTACTTTGCTTAGCCTCCTTTATACCTCTCAAGATATTCAGAATTTCTCCCTTTACTGAATTCCCAGTATTCTTACTAAAAAACACTGAGGACTTCTCAGCATTTATAGCTTGTCCTGAGGCTTCTCCATCATCTTCAACAACTTCATCACATGAGCAGCCTCTTTCTTGTTAGCTCTGCAGAACACCAAAGTATCATCTGCAAAAAAGAGGTGAGACAAAACTGGACTCTGCTGAGCAATCCTAAGTCCAGAAATGTCCTGGTTATACATTGCTCTCTTAAACAAACTTGATAATCCCTCAGACACTTGCAAGAAAATGTATGGAGACAGAGGATCTCCTTGCCTAATTTCCCTTGTAGGTGTAACCAAACTTTTTTTTTCCCATTCAAATTAAAAGAGTAAACAACAGAAGACATGCACTTCAAAATCCAGTTTCTCCACTTCTGACAAAAACCCATTTTTTCCATAACTTTTTGCACAAAAAGCCACTCCATCCTATCATAAGCTTTGGCCATATCAAGTTTTAAAGCCATGAAAGCATTTGATCCACATCTTCTGTTATTCAAACAATGGATGAATTCATGTGCAATAACAACATTATCAATTATTTGTCTTTCTAGAATAAAAGCTGATTGGTTTTGGCTAACACAGTGTTTTAGCAGAGGCTTAAGTCTGTTGACCAAGATTTTAGAGATTATCCTATAGACTACATTACACAAGCTAGTTGGTCTAAACTGAGAAATAGACATTGGGGAATCAATTTTAGGAATAAGAGTGATGATAGTCTCATTGACAGCCTTCAGTAAGTGACCAGAATAAAAGAAACTAGATATGGCATTCACCAAATCATCTTTTAACACACTTCAGTACTGTTGGAAAAAGGCAGGAGTCATACCATCAGGTCCAGAAGCTTTGTTGGGTTGCAAAGAGAAAACAGATTTTTTGACTTCCATTTCTGATACAGGTCTAACCAGTATAGCATTCATTTGGTCTGTGATCACTAGGGGGATCCCACTCAATACTGGCTCAAGGTGCTGGGAATTACTGGAAGTGAAAAGTTCCTAAAAGTAACCATTGATTTCATCCTCAATGTCTTGCTCTGATTCACACCAAGATCCATGTCCTCTTTGCAAACTTGATATGTTATTCCTTCTCCTCCTCTCAGCAACACTAGCATGAAAAAATTTTGTATTCTTATCACCTTCCTTCAACCATTTAACTCTAGCTTTCTACTACCAAAACACATCCTCTCTCCTATAGGCCTCTTCTAGTTTCTTTTTAAGCTCTCTCACCCTCCCAGCCTTATTGGCTTGACCATCTCCATGAGCCTTTGTGATCTTCTGTTTCAGCTCTACAATCTCTTTTTTTGCATTTACACCCTTTTGCCTATTCCAGTTCAAAAGAGCTACTCTACAATTCTTGATTTTTTGATGCAGCTTAAAGAATCTAGATTCTTCCTATTGTTTCCTCCATTCCTTAGTAACAATCTCTCCCACCTCCTTATTGTTTATCTAGTTCCTATCAAAATAGAACTTCATTTTCCATTTTCTACCCTTTTGCTCAGTGTCAAACAATAGCATGGCATGATCAGAGGCATCATTTTGGATATGTAGGCATTTAGCCTTTTCATGCTCTCTTTTCCACTGTCTACTGCATAGAACTCTATCCAAACGTTCCTTTACTTCCTTCCCCTCTTCCCAATTATTTGACCATGTCCATGGCACTCCTTCAAAGCCAATGTCAATGAGCTAATTAGTGTTTACAAAATCCCTGAAATTTTGAAAACTTCTTTCAGGCCTCCTACTACCCCCTTACTTCTCATCATTAGACAGTATATCATTCATATCCCCTGCCAGCACCCATTTCTGCCCTACACTCTCATCCTATCTTTGATGATCCTCCACTGTTTCTTTCTAATCTGATCCTCACTACTAGCATATATAAAAATCAGCTATCACCTATCTCTAGCACCAGTCCTTTCTAGCAACAATTCAATAGTAAAGTCAGTATAAAATAACGTACAAACATGCAAATCATTCTTCCACATTACTGCCATCCTACCAGCTATTCCAATTGGATCCACCACACACAGTCTATCATATCTTAACTTTAGTCTCACCTTATTCAAAATTTCTTTTTTGTTTTTTGTTTCTGATAAGAAAATCAACTTAGGAGAGTGGAGTTTGACACTCTCCTCTATCTGGGGAACTGTCAAGGGGCTCCCAACATTTCGACAGTTCCACACTAGAGCTCTCATTAGAATCTGGGAGCCCCATTTAAGTAGGACTCCACCACCTCAGATGCTAGTTCCATCCCAGCCACACCACTCACAGTTTTGCCTCTCTTCTGGCTTTCCCCTTATTCCCTAATATTTTCCTTATCCATACTCTCACTCAGCTTCCTTTTTCCCCCCTTCATTTTCTATGTCCATTCCCTCATTCTTTTCCCCCAGAGGTATTTTTTTGCTCACCTCACGAACTAACCTCTTCCACCCTCTACTCCCCTTATACTTCCCACCTCTTATACCTATACTACCATGCAGCTCCTATTGTTCTATTGCACGATCAATCCCCCTTATCCCCTCTATCCCTTTCCTTATTGTCAGTGTCAATTCCATCAATCCATGTGGAATCAAACAGTTCCTTTCATTCAGACCCCCTCTCTGGCTACCCTCCTGTATTTCCTCCTCAGCCGTGAAATTTAATCCCTTAGTGGCTTTACTCTTTTCCTTTATAACATCTTCATTCTTCTTATAACCAGACTTCAAGCTCTCTTTCTTAATGTCTTCCAATACTACCCCCTTCTCCCTACTCTTTTTAGTAACTTTCATTACTGCCTCTTGATCCCTCTCCTTAGTTCCCTCACTCCCTTTTACTACTGTATCAACATTAACCTCCACTAGCTTCCCAGGCAGACAAAGTTGTTCCTGCACCTTGTCCCCCCATCCCTTGGACAACTGTGGCCTTTCACCACCCTTACTCTCCCCCATGCTAGAGGTATTCTGTTTCCTAACTAGGGTCCTCGCATTGCTAGCTGTAAGCCAAGCTCCATACTGATTTTCCTTTTCTATATTAACTCACTTTTCCCTGCAAATTCTCTCATTATGCCCCATGATCCCACAACAGTAGCAAAAGTTAGGGCATTTCTCGTATTTGAATTCTATCCATCTAGTACTACCCCCTAGCTTAACTGTGGTTCCTTTTAGCATTGGCTTAGTTAACTCCATCTCAACCAGAATTTTTAAATGTTTCCCTTCTTTTCCACCACCATTAGGAATAATCACTTCCTTTACAGAATTGAAAACTCCCCCAATTTTCCTACTAATGTCCTTAGTAATCCAATGAATAGGTAAATTCCACAGCTGAACCCAAATCCAAGTCCTATTAAAAGCTTCAAGGTTCTGTTCTAACCCTTCCTTCCATGGTAAAACTACTAATGGCAAATTATCATATACCCATGGCCTTTCCCTCAGCACCCTATCCATATCCTAATTATTACTGAATACAAACTGGAACATATTAACCCTATCTCAACAACTCTTAGATTTCTAGTAAACGACCACATATTATTTGTAAAACTCTTTATACCAGCAATGTTTGCAGTCTTCTCCCCCACCACCCTTCGAATAATACTCAATTAACATTCAACTACTCCCTGAGCCAAGTCCTTACCATCCAATTCCACATCCTCAGCGTCCTCCTCTGTCAGAGCAAATTTCCTTAAAATTTCCTCCAGATCTTCAGTCATCCTAAACCACTACCAGTAAGATCCCCAGCTAACCACAGACCAAAAGAGCAATACCAGAATCCCGTCCAATCAGAAACAGAGTCTACAAAATAGCAAAAGAAAGCAACAAAGACCAAAGGAATGAAAACCAAAAAACACGGCCGATCAAAAACTATATCAGTAGGATTAAGAGACCTATACGGACAATACTAAGCTACTAATAACTGCAATGGAAAATGTCACCTGGAAGCAGAACTTAGATCTATGGTGAAGAAGTATCTGAAGTAGAAATTAAGATCGAGATGGAAGCTGTAAGCAAGAATGCAAGCTCAGAAGAGTTCGAATCTAGCTTGCGCAGAAATCAGCTCGCAGTAGCCACAAACCAAGGATGTAGCAAACAATGAACGAGTAGAGATGGGATGACAACATCATGATATTATTCCACTGAATTCACCATTGAAGCAACATCAATGTGGATCGAAATCAAAAGAACAAATTAAATTTGTTTTTGTTTTTGTTTGATGAAGAAAGTACGGGAAATTTGAATTTGAAAAAGCAAGTTCAAACACCCAATAAAGGTGAATTTGGCTCCCTACTTAGAGAGAGAAAGTAACCACCTACAAGAGGGACTTCTGTTCACCAGCTGATTTTTTTTTTTGATAAAAACCCACAAATTATTGGAAATCATTCAATACAATTTGACTTACGTCAGTGCTCAGTTTGTTGATCTAATTCACCAAAATAGTTCAGGGGCTAATGCCATATTTCACCAAATCTCAAAGTAACCAAGCTCTAGTACTTTGATGGGATAAAATGGTATTAGCCCACAAAAAAAAAAGAGCCTCTGACCTTACAAGAATAATTAAAATTGTTAAATCATTTTACTTTAATTTCTCAGCATCTATTTCCAGAATAATTTTATCACCAATTTGTCCTTCAGCTATCAATAAAGTAGGTGTATACAACAGCCTCAAGAGCAACATGAAGCTTGTATGTACACTACAC